GCCACACGCAGGCAACCAGTTGTGAACAACCATTTTAAATGGTGATAGCTATAGTATATGCAGAAGTGATCTTAGCACAAGGCGGTAAATACAAAGATACAAAGATACTACATACATCACATGAAAATTATAGAGAACAACGTGTTTACATAATCCCTTTGCAGCCCACATAGTTGGTGTGAAATACAGACTTCCAGGTGAGAAGATTCTATATGCATGCATAAAGTCCTTTGTGTTTAGTATGGCTACATGATGCATAATAAAGAGAATCCAGCTGAAGGCGGACATGATTTGCCAATAATGAATGAATAGACATATAACAAACAGGTACAGAAATCCAAGTGTGCAATGCTGCAAAAGAATGGACAAACTTCTCTTGGGAAGCAAGAATTCGAATCACATACTTTTACGTTTAGTGATACAAAAAACTAAGTATTGCAAGTAACTAAACCCAAGATGGGCAAAGATGTAGAAGAGGTGATGGTTCCGATCAGTTAGTAGATTCACGACCATAGAAAGCCATCTCCAAGAAATTCTGCAGCAATTAACAACGGACATACTTCATCTAACAAATAAAATGAATTTGTAATGTAGAAGCACTGATAAAGAAACAAGAAAAAACTTCTGGCTGCCAATTATCTGATCGAAACATAGTAACACAAAAAATTAAATTTAAATAACCTAAACTAATTCAACTATCTGATCATAACATATATTGCACTGAACTAAAGATATTACTGTAACTGCATATTTCACGAAACCTAAAGAGCATAACATATATTGCAGTAAACCAATGACATCAATAGAACCAAAATCTACCGAATGCTATAAACAACACAAAAAGTATTGAAAAGGAGTTCATATGTACATGTAAGCGTTATGGAAAAACAACATAGCTCTCCAGGTAAGATCTATTTTAGTGCTTTTATTTCTATTCTAGTTATAACAAATAGCAGGACAATTATGTTATAAATCATTTCATTGGTGTGAGGCGTAATCTCAAAGGTCTTCACATAATGGCTCTTGGAAGGGGATAACAAAGATTTACTTATTCACAAATATAATTTCGTAGGTAAAAGGTAGCAAATCAAGCAAATAATACAATAACTCTTTACCTTGCATACTCAAATACCTCAACAGAACCTGAAGCACTTGCATATTTCATGAAACCTAAAGAGCATAGAAGATTATGAAATTGCTTGTATAAGTTGAGCAAAAAAGGAGAAGAGTAATACCTATTTGATCCCGCGAAGTGAAAATGGTAGCATATGCTCCCTTTGTTCCTAAATATAACTCTTTTTAGAGATTTCAATATGGATTGCATACGGCGCAAAATGAGTGAGTCTACACTCTAAAATAATGTTGAGGTCGCTGCCTCCATCCATCCCAGGGGGCGGACTGGGCGGCCCGGTACCACCCCGTGAAAGCCTACGACTGGCCTCCGCAGACCGGACAGTGAGATCTTCATCTTCTCTAGGGTGTTGGTAAAGATAATGTTGAGGCCGCTGCCTCCATCCATCAAGACGCGTGAGAGGAGGCAGCCCACCATGATTGGATCTAACACCTAGGTGTGCTTGCCGGCGTGTATGACGTCTTCGGGGTGATCCCCGACGTCGGAGGTCACCGTTTCCTGGGACCACACAAGCCGTTTGTTGGTTGCGTTTTCTACGTCGCGCGAGTTTGTGGTTTCAGCATGTATCCGCCATCATGAATATCATGTTCACGGAGGCCTTGCGAGCGGGCTTGCGGCTTCGAGGAGCATGTACGATGTGTCTCCGCATGAGGTGAACAAGGCCATCGTAGATCCCCAGAGCCTGCCCTTGCTCATCGTACACGTGATCGACAAGGTACGAGGGCGAGATGTCGAGGAATTCTCCTGACCCATCAGCGACCATGTAACGCCCCGAGACCGTTGTGCCAGGTGTCCTCCAGTTATTCGCTGTTGTTGCCTTGTCATTGCTTGCGTGTCATGCTTTGCATATCATGTCATCATGTGCATTTCATTTGCATACATGTTCGTCTCATGCATCCGAGCATTTTTCCCGTTGTCCGTTTTGCAATCCGGCGTTCCGTTCTCCTCCGGTGGTCATTTCTACCTTCTTCTCGTGTGTGGGGATTAAACATTTCCGGATTGGACTGAGACTTGCCAAGCGGCCTTGGTTTACTACCGGTAGACCGCCTGTCAAGTTTCGTACCATTTGGACTTCGTTTGATGCTCCAACGGTTAACCGAGGGAC